GTAAAGTTATAACATTGTTATTTTAAAATGTTAACAGCTTAAATTCAATTATGTACAAACAGCACTCCCTTACAACCCTGTTCTCACTTTATGTTATTGATGTCAGAAATTATTTCTGTATATTTTGTGTTCCTATTAACATATATTTATAGTGCTTATTGAATAATTTTGTCTTTTAAATGCTACGAAGATATTAAAAGTCAAAGTATAAATGAAAAGTACAATACTACATGTTTCTGTATTATTTGGTCATTTATTGACTTATAATGGAGAAATTGACGTTTTCGTATGGGTTAGAGTTTTTATATAGGGAGGATCCTTATCTTTCATCTTGGAGGACTAACTTTAGCATTTATTAGAGAACAGATTCAGAGTACTAATGAATTCCCTCAGCTCTTTTACTAAGTGTAAATTTCTCCTTTATTTTTGCAGGAGAGTTTTGCTAAAAATAGTATTCTTGGTTGACATTTTTTTTCTTTAAGCACTTTGAACGTATCATCATACTGCCTTGTAGCAAAGTTTCTGCTGAAAAATGCACATAGTCCTATAAAGTTTCCTTTGTATATCACAGGTCTCTTTTTTCTTATTACTTTCAAGACTATGTCTTTGTCTTTGGCTTTTGATAGTTTGTTTATAATATGTCTCTGTGTGAATGTCCTTGGGTAATTTTAGTTACAGCAGTCAAGCTTCTTGAATTTGTATTAATATATCCATTTCTTTCCTTAAATTTGGGACATTATTTCTTAAAAAGTGATATCTGATCCTTTGTCTTCTCCATATGAAACTCACATAATTTGTATATTATTTTGCTTGATAGTATCCCCCAAATCTCTTAGAGTTTGTTTGCTTTTCTTCATTATTTTTTTCTTTCTGCTCTTTGGAGACAATATTTTTGCTAACATGTCTTCAAATCTGTTCATTTCTTTCCTCTGCCTTCTTCAGTCTACTGTTGAATCCTATAGTGAATCTCTTTCCAGTTATTGTATTTCAGCTCCATAATTTCTATTTTTTAAAAAGTTTCTCTTTTATTTGATATTCTCCTTCTTTCAAGTATTTTGTCCTTCGTTCATTTTGTTGTGTATCTCTGTTATCTTTTAAGCTCATTTACCATTTTGGGATTATTGCTTCAATTATTTGTCAAGTAATTCAGAGGGCTGTGTTTTTTTAGGTTTTGTCTTAGGGCATTTATTTTGTTCCTCTTATTTGACCATACTTCCCTGCCTTTTTGTAGGCCTTGTAATTTTTAGTTTGGGTTTGGGCCTTGGTAAAACAACCACCTCTCCAAGTGTTTTTGCCCTAAAATTGTGCAGAGAGGGACCTTTTACTCATCAGCCTGTTATATAGGATCTAGGTGCACTCACTCCTCTTCTGGGGATGTCTTTCCTGGCTTTTATTATGTACTATTACTAATGTTTATGTAGGTGCTTTTAAATGTTATATTTTCCCTAAGAGGCCCATTCCTGCCTGTTTTCAGGAGATTTTGGTTTCTGTTGTATTTCTCTGCTCATAATCTCTCTCAAATGCACCCATAATCCTCCTGGCTGCTACAGACCCTCCACTGCTCCAGTACGGCACCTCACTCCCTTATGTTTTCAGCATTGCCAACATGATATACTAAGTGTGCTGATGTTCCTTTCAATGTCTGGGTTAGGTGAGGCAGATTCTAGTCCTTCTCTCAGAATGTAGACATGCCAGAACCATGGGTTCAAGCTCCACTCCTTTCTTGCTTTCCTAGGGAGAAGCTGTACATTGGGAGGTGATGCAGAAAACAATCCTATTAACAATGGATGTGGATTAAGCTTTCAGCTATATCTGCCAGAAATGCAGCTATTTCAAGCTGAAGGGAAAACTCATGAATGTAATCAAGTTGAAACGTATATCAACCATATTTCCTCATTTTCACCACTTCAAAACATTCCTTCTGTCAAAACCCACATTTTTAGTAAATATAGGATTGATTTTGTTGATTCTCCATTACTCACACTAGAACAGAAAGCATACGTTAGGGAAAAACCTTACAGATGTAATGAGTGTGGCAAAGCCTTTAGTGTATCTTCAAGCCTTACTAACCATCAAGTGATCCATAATGGTGAGAAACCTCCCAAATGTAAAGAATGTGGCAAGGTCTTCAGGCACAATTCAAACCTTGTACGACATCGGCGAATTCATACGGGAGAGAAACCTTACAAATGTAATGAATGTGGCAAAGTCTTCAGATACAATTCACATCTTGCAGAACATCAGAGAATTCATACGGGAGAGAAACCTTACAAGTGTAATGAATGTGGAAAGGCCTTCAATCGAGTGTCACTCCTTGCACAACATCAGATAATTCACACCGGAGAGAAACCTTACAAATGTAATGAATGTGGCAAGGTCTTCAATCGAGTTTCACTCCTTGCACAACATCGGAGAATTCATACCGGAGAGAAACCTTACAAATGTAACGAATGTGGCAAGGTCTTCAATCAAGTTTCAAGTCTTGCTCGTCATCGAACAATTCATACTGGAGAGAAACCTTACAAATGTAATGAATGTGAAAAGGCCTTCAGCCACAATTCAAAACTTGCAGAACATTGGAGAATTCATACTGGAGAGAAACCTTACAAATGTAATGAATGTGGCAAGGTTTTCAGTCGAGATTCACGTCTTACTCGACATCGGAGAATTCATACTGGAGAGAAACCTTACAAATGTAGTGAATGTGGCAAAGTTTTCAATCAAATTTCACACCTTGCTCGACATCGGAGAATTCACACTGGAGAGAAACCTTATAAATGTGATGAATGTGGAAAGGCCTTCAGTCACAATTCAAATCTTGCAGAACACTGGAAAATTCATACTGGAGAGAAATCTTTCAAATCTAATGATTGTGGCAAAATCTTCAATCAAGTTTCACACCTTGCACAACATTGGACTGTTCATACTTGATAGACACCCTCCAAATGTAGTGAATGTAGCAAGGTCTCAGGCAAGAGATATCCATTACAGTTCATCAGAAAATTCGTACTGGAGGGAAGTCTTACAAATGAATGAATGTGGCAAGGTCTGTAGTTGCAGTTTACATCTTGCATGACATTGGAGTAATCATACTGGAGAGAAACCCTACAAATGTAATGCATGTGGTAAGGACTTCAGTCACAATTCACACCTTGAACAACATCTGAAAATTCATTCATGACTGAGACCTTACCATTTTAGTGAGTATGGCAAATTCTACATCCTAAGTAGTAGCATTAATCAACATCAGAGAGTGCATACTAAGGAGAAATTCAATAAATGTATGTGTCAGAGGCTTTATCCAGGCCTCATAGCACAATGGACATCAAAGTGTACATCTTTGATAAAACCATACAATGAAATGTGAATACATATTCAATGAAACCATATAAATGGAATGTAATGTTACTATAGAACATCAGAAGATTTACACAGGAAATAACTCAGTCTCTTGTTCTCCAGTATTAAACTGTGATATTATATTACTTGCTGGAGATAATTACAAGTCAAAATAAGTTGAACCTCATCACATGATATAGAGCATATGTTCAAGGTCCGTTATATTTAGGTTATAAGATAATTATTTGGGTTTTTTTTAAATGACTCCTCTTTGTAAGTGTCAACTTGAAATTTGAAATCTCTCCATATGCCTTCCATACTGATGTCTTGGAAAGAGTGAGTTGACAGACTGGCTTGATTAGTGAGAATCATTTCTATCCAGTTTCCTGGAAGAATAAGGACATTTTATTTTGAAACTAAATATTGTCCGATTATGTGGTAGAAAAAACGCGAGGAAACAGTGGCTACTTTCTCCGCTGAATGGCAATAGCTTTTACTTAGCAAAGACTGTTGAAAAATTGTCTTGTTTTTGAAATTGAAGAGAGAAGACATATCAAAGTAGAGATTTTAATCAGAGCTATGAATATAGGATGTTCCTGAGTAGGATTCACACTTTCCTACTGGCAATATAATTTGCCACTATTTTATATAGAATGTGTCCTAGTTCTCATGTTTTAACTAAAAAAAATTAATTTTTTTATAACTATGAGTGAGTCACATTTTATCTACCAACAATATTTTATTCTACCTCAGGAGGATACTTACAACAGACTGTAATAATATACCATTAGTCTCTTAAAGTTGAAGCATCTAGAACATTCTTGTGTGGGTGTGTGTGTGAAATCAAACAATGTAACACATTTTGGTACATGTGCTTAGGTCAGTATGATTTCGGGTAGTTATTATTAGCACTTGAGTTCTTCTCTACACTCTAGCTCCTTATGTGGGTATGTTGAAAATCCCTTTGCAGTGCAACTTCAGACTCATATATCCTCAACACGCATTGCTGTTGATAAAACATGCACTATATTATTATATTTCTACATGCCCCTTTTTTGTGTGCCAAATTAGACCCATGGCATGCACCTTCATTTTTCATGAAGCAAAAATACAAATATAGTAGTATGAAAAATCTTATAAAATGAAAAAAAGTGTGGTGAATAAGGATAAAAATAACACCATCTTTTTTTTGTACTTGCCATGGTCAGTGTTTATAATTTGGAAATACTAATATGAACTTCCACATATGAACGAGCATACAGAATGGGAATTGTGGTAGATAAAGTGGAAATTTCCTGTGTTTACCCTCATAACATTTTTGGTATGTTCAATGTTTGACCACTCCACTGGAACTTGATTAAAGTGCCCCTGACATTGAGTTTGGATGTTGAGAGTGATAACACTATACAATAAAGTGTTATGAGAATGTTTATTACATAATGAGGCTTTCTGGGGAAAGCAGCTTGTCCAAAACTGGCTTTATTGAACTGGTATATAAGACTGACTTTCAGTGTTATCATTCTAAAGGATGAGGTTGGGATGGAGATATCCACTTGTGGTTTTGAACTTCCAATTGCTGCCAAAGGAGGGAATACTGAGGCTTTATTGTCCGCTTGACCAGGTAGGCAGAATAAGCTTAGGGAGTACAGAGCTGTAACATCACCAACACACAATGCAGTCTGACTCTTCAGTACAATATTGTATCTTTACTCTTCAAACTCCCAACATGTTAGTTAAGCAAGATCCCAGTTTTCTCATGGTAATGGCATAATCCATTCCTTTCTTGGCTGCACACATAAGTCCCATTGCACAATATGACTATTGAAAAATGTTTGTGAAATACTGTTTAGTTAAATTGCCTAATAAATTTTTATAGTCAATGAAAATTATTGTGTGGAAGAATTTATTATACAATGAAAATGATTAAGTAATTTCGTTGGAAGAGCATTTTTCCAAAAGGTATGGAACTGAGGAATATATTCCACAGTTCATTTTCAATCGTAATGAACTTTATTTTTTCTTTTTGTGTATAGTTCTTTTACAGGTTTTTTTTCCCTCTTTCCTGCATTGTAGTCCAGATTATATGCTCACTGCATTTCTTCCCTGTGTTACTCTAGTGAAATATTTAGGAGGTACATAAATGAGGTTGATGTTTCGAGACAAATTTTGTGAGATGGAAATGCACATAAGACAATGGCAGGTACAAACTTGGTTCTTCATAAATGTGAAACTGGATTGTTTTTTTTAAGTCTTTGGTGGAAGTATTGGGATAATACAAAATGATGAACTGAAGTTTCTTCCAGTGTGAGTTATCTAACATCAGGTATTTGAAAATCAACTGTGTGGAGATTAATCAGCATCTGGAGAGGTAAATGAAAACATAAGAGGGAAAATTCCCCAGGTTTCAACCATATTTTGTGACAATGAGATAATGTTTACTGCTGGATTCCTGGAAACTATTCTTCTGCTTCCCACTGGCTAGTATTCCTATTCACAGCAAGGATCTTGCAGGAAAACATAATGTTTGTGCTACACTTAACCAAGGAAACTCAGACCCAATATACTCTCCTTAGATTTGTTACCATCCAAAAATAAATACATTTTGCTTTAATAATTTCTAGTTAGATGCAAAGGTGTGCACCTGTAATCCTAGCTACCTGGGAGGCTGAGGCAGGAGGAATGTTTGAGGCTAGGAGTGAGAAACAAGCCTGGGCCATGTGACGAGACCCCATTACACAGACACACAAAGTGATTTCCTATGTTTGCTATATATTTTCTTTATATCAATCACACTTAGAGCAAGAATCAGTGTTGTTAGTGCTTTTTTATTTTCTAATGATTTTCTTCAGCTCTTGAAATAAGTATTGATGACATTCTCATTGCACATGAGGAAACCCTATACAAAAACAGGTTAAAAGATCCATCCAGGCATATTCCAGTAAGTGGCTGATTCAGTATAGATTCTATGTTGTCTGCTTATAAAGCTAGTTTCTTAACCGTGGAGCTTCAGTAGGAAGGCTACTTATTTTTGTCCTTCAACTCATCAACATCTGCATTTTTTAAGTATCTCTTGTCATTCTTAAATGGTTATGTTCATCCATCCTTGAGATTGTGTTAACATTCTATTATGTCTACACTGTGATTTCATAGACCAATACTACCTGTGAATTAATACTTAAATTAATCGGAGATACACAAACGACCACACAATCCTGTAAGAACGATGATCCAGTTTTTCAGCAGAGGCATCCAGTCCCTGAGGGTATAAGTTTGTGATTCATCCATGTCAATGCACAGACCTGTACTTAACAATTCATCAGTAGTGGCAATTAGAATGCACATTTCCTGAGCTGAGCATATTTGAAAATCTTGTGTTCCTTCTGCCAATTTCCAGAAACAATTACAGGTTTCTAAAGTACCTCACCGAGAACACATTGGAGTGTATGGTAGGAGTTCTTCCTTTTAAATTATCTCTGAAGGCAAACTGGGGTCTACATGGAAGAGACAGAAAATGCTGATATCTGACACTTGATGGGAAGTAATGTTGGCAGTCTTTTCATGTGCCTATTTGCTTTGTGTTTTATGCATCCGTGAAATGTCTCTTCTTGTGTTTGTCCATTTTATAACTTGATTATTTGCTCTTTTTTTTTGCAGGAATTCTAGAATTCTTTGTATATTCTGTCTGTCAGATATTTGATACACAAATCTTTTCTATGACTCTGTAGCTTTTGTTTCATTGTCTTAACAAGGTCTTATACAGATGAGAAGTTTTAAATTTGATAAAAATCCAGTCCATCAATATATATATTTTTTTCTTTCATGGGCCATGATTTTGGTGCCATGTCTAAGGATTCTTCACCAAGCTCTTGATTCTAAAGATTTGATTTGATTTTATTTTTTGAGACAAAGTCTCACCCTGTTACCCCAGCTAGAGTGCAGTAGCATCATCATAGCTCATTGCAACCTCAGACTTCTGTGATCAAGTGATTCTCCTGGCTCAGCCTCCTGAGTATCGTATCTGGGACTACAGGTGTGTGCCACCATGCCTGGCTAATTTTTCTATATTTTTGTAGAGACAGGATCTTACTCTTGCTCAGGCTGGTCTCGAACTCCTGGCCTCAAGTGATCCTCCTGCCTCAGCCTCCCAGAATGCTAGAATTAGAAGCGTGAGCCACTGCACCTGGCCTTGAAGATTTTATTTTATAGTTTTTTTCTGTATCTCCTACAGTTTAACATTTTGTGGTTTTATATTTTGCATTTAATCTGGGGTCAGTTTTGAGCTAATGTTTGTACAGGTGTGAAGTTTGGTTGGTGACTTTTTTTAAATGGATATTTAATTGGTCCAGCGCAATTTTTTAAAAAATTTTTCATTCATTCAATGACTTGGTAACTGTCATAAATCACTTATAAGTATGCATATGGAGACTATTTCTATCCTCTTTATTAGGTTCTGTTGACCTGTCTCTCATTCCACCAACACCTCCCAATTTGTGTTAATTTTACTGTATTAGCAGAACTGAAATCACATGGAGTTACTCCAACCACTTTCTTCTTCTTTTTTTTCAGATGCTTTAGCTACTCTAGTTCTTTTG